ATTCGGAATTCAGGTGACAATATTGCTACCTGGACAATACCAACAACATGGTATTTCAGCGACCATTTTTTGACATTGTCAAACTGGTATTTTTAATTTGAAGTTTTTATTCACATTTTTGCATTCCATTTATTTTCAAAATCTTACGTGAAATAGTCATGACGAATACCACTCGAGAAAAAATTGTGTAGGCAAAATTCTTCTCAAGGTTTTATTCAAGTTTGTTGCTTTTCGGCAATTTCGCTCATGAAATTTTTGATAAAATCACTCGCCTGACGGCTCGTGATTTTGTCAAAAATGTCATTCGCGAAATTGCCAAGCAACAAACTTTCATACCTTTCGAAAATTTTGTCGACAAAATTGTTTCTCTTGTGATATTATATATGACTATTTCACTAGAGTGTATTACACCAGCAATAAATTCGGTATTCACCTGACAATAATGCTACCTGGACAATACCAACAACATGGTATTTCAGTGACCATCTTTTGACATTGTCAAACTGGTATTTTTAATTTGAAGTTTTTATTAATAATTTTGCATTCTATTTATTTTCAAAATCTTACGTGAAATAGTTATGACGAATACAACTCGAGAAAAAATTGTGTAGGCAAAATTATTCTCAAGGTTTTATTCAAGTTTGTTGCTTTTCGGTAATTTCGCGAATGACATTTTTGACAAAATCACGAGCCGTCAGGCGAGTGATTTTATGTTGCCAAGCAACAAACTTTCATACCTTTCGAAAATTTTGCCGACAAAATTTTTTCTCTTGTGATATTATATATGACTATTTCACTAGAGTGTTTTACACTGGCAAAATGTCATAGGAACGGCCGGTTTTCTACTGACCATTTCACTAGAGTGTTGTACACTGGCAAAATGTCATAGGAACGACCGGTTTCCTAATGACAAAACTCCTACCTGTTTCTACTCGGACAAAACCAACATGATGGTTTTTCAGCGACAATTTTTTTTGTGGTTAAGGCCGCGTTAAGGCCGCCATGATTAAACTGTGATTGGTTGATTTTTCGAAACTTGTTTTAAGGTCTTTAAAAAAACGGCATATCAGAACTGGCTCAAATTTGGCATACACATTATTTGATCGATTATCTACAATTCATTATTTTAGTTTTTCGATATTCAGCCTTTTCTTTTAAATTCAAAAATCATGTTCGCAACCACCAAAACAATTAAATGTGTTGGTGGTTGCATATTTGCATGTTTATCAAGCTTGGATCCGTGAAAAGCATATTTTATTGATAACCACGAAAAACTAAAAAAAGCTAATTGTAGAGACTGTAGCTAATATATCAAATAATGTTTATGCCAAAGGATTTTGGAAATTATTGCGGATTTTTTGAGATGACCTTAAAACGAATTTTGAAGGTGAAAACAGTTCAAGGAATTTCAAGTAGATGGCGCCACGGCAAAAAAGCTACATTGGAAGCATCATAATTGTATATTTGTCTTTCTCTGTCACTAAGTGTTTCACCGACAAACAGATTTCGTTTTGGACAAATAATAAAATATTAAACCCTATATGTAGAGTGACGCAGTCGTCATTTTCAAAAACTAAATTTAAACATGGCGGCCATTAACGCGGCCTTAATGTAAAAAACTATTGAGTTTGACAAGTGTCACCTAAAGAAAATAAATTTTCCAAATGGAAATTTGGCATGTTTTTCTCGTGAAATAGTCCAGCCGAATACCACTGAAGAAAAATTATCTTGGTTTTATTCAAGTTTGTTGCTTTTTGGTAATTTCGCTCATGAAATTTTTGACAAAACCACTCGCCCGACGGCTCGTGGTTTTGTCAAAAATGTCATTCGCAAAATTGCCAAGCAACAAACTTTCATACCAGTGGAAAATTTTGTCGACAAAATTTTTTCTCTTGTGGTATTATACAGGGTGAGTTATTAAGCGCGCGGTCATCCATATCTCCTATACTCATGAAGTTTTTGACAAAACCACTCGCCTGACGGCTCGTGGATTTGTCGATTCGCGAATTTGACCTGTCTCGTAATACCTGAATCGGCGCACGCAGCCTATGGCAAGCAGGTGAGAAAGTGAAGTTTGTTACGGGCTTGTCATATTTCTTTAATTCTATTCAGGGTCGAGTTCAGAAGTAATCGTTCCTTCTTTCTTTGTAATGTGTAATTTGACGAAGAGCAAACTAATACTTTACATATTACTTGAACTCACCGCAGTGTCGTTTAATGTTATATTAGATTATATTTGACATTTTTCTTTGCAATTTCATTGTGCGATGTTGCCGGATGAAACATTTATCAAAATAAAAGTGCAAACATGTTAATACACTTTAAAGCTTTTCTTTTGTCTGATTTGAGGAGTTGTAAAACACTTGACACTATATCACTTCTTTAATGTTATAATATTCGATTTGTATTATCTACATTTGTGCTGTAACAAGACAATCTGACTACACTGCAGCCACGAGTTGCTCGCGCATGTCATCTCTTATTACTTTCTCACTTGTATTTGTTACAATTAAGCTCTCTTTTTCTATTTCTGCGAGACACATCAATTGCCAAGCAACAAACTTTCATACCCAATGACATTGTTCAGAAAATTTTGCCACGTTTTTTGGTTTTTTGCGTTTTTGGTAGATTTATGTTTCTGAGGATCTTCTCTTTGAGATTTGGCGAGCAATCGGAGACTCAAAAATACTATAAAAGAAAAAAAATATTAATTTTGAAATTCCACTGTCCGTAAAGTCGTCCGGACCCACTTTTATTTTATTTATATTACTCATGTCTTTTATTTAACTTTATACAATAATTTTTACTCACCTAAAAACTACGCGCTTTATGCAGGGGAAAATGGGAAAAAGTTATTAGAAACATAGCTCCGCGAATGCTTAGTTTTCGAGATACAGTGTGTCAAAGTTTAAGAAAAAAATAGGTTTTTAGCTTAAAAATCCATTTCCCATTTTTTTTTTTTAAACTTTGCATTGTCGGTTTGTTTGTGTGAGTCACTATATTTTGACACCCACCTGCAGCCGTAATTACAGGTGATAGGTTAAAGGTGTTAATACAAAAGTTGTAGCACTTTATCTGAACCGCCAGAATTTTAAATTAGATTGAACAAATGAGCAACGCAAAATAAAAAAATATGTTGATGTCCACTTTTTTTAAATGGAATGCCCTTTATTTTCTTCCAAATGCCGTAAGTTCTCGATTTTCTGATTCAGATTACCTATATGATACGTAAATGTTTCTTTCAATAGTTTTGGAAATATCTGGAGTTTAGTTATTCGAAGACAGTAGATTTTTGAATATATTTTACCTTGATTTACCTGTCACCTGGTCACCTGTTCACAAAACATTCTGATACGTGAATAGGTGTTCGAATAACTAAACTCCAGATATTTCCAAAACTATTGAAAAAAAAACATTAATATGTATGTAATCTGAATCAGAAAAACGAGAACTTCAAGAATTTCAAAGAAAATAAAGTGCATTCCGTTTAAAAAAAGTGAACATTGACATGAGTATTTTTCCATTTTGTATTGCGCATTTTTTCAATCTAATTAAAAATTCTGGTGGTTCAGATAAAATGCTACAACTTTTGTATTTACACCTTTCACCTATCACCTGTAATTACGGCTGCAGGTAGTTGTCAAAATATATTATGACTCACCCTGTACCTACTATTTATCCTAGAAGTTTAATCCCGCTATTCAGAAACACCCTGTACACAAAATAATTTAATCGAGAAATCTCTGGAATCACGCTTATTTAAATCTCACAATGGAACAAATTATTGAATATTCCCAATGTAATTTCGTAACAAAATTGAAATTGAACAGAAATTCGCTTGGAAAGACGAAAATAAGAAAAATGGTTTTAAGAGTAGTTGTCTATAGTATTTTATTTTTTTTTTGTAATTTTAATTATCCTTTTTCTATTTTCTTTTGATATATGAATGAACGAAACACGAAACACGATATAGGGGCATTTCATCAATTATAGGGAGCGAGTATTTAAATTCCAGACAGACATTTTGAAAGCCTTAATCGAGGATCACGATCAATATTAGAATATTATCAAGCAAGGGGTTTCTGCAGAAAGGGTTGGCCCATCGCAATCCCAGCATCAATTCCAGGAGCATCGAGGATCGCACATCCGTGCAGGAAAAGCAGCCAATTAAATTGGATTGTATTGCATATAAGGCTTCCTCGTTGAGAGGAAACGTTTGAATAATTTAGAAAAAATTCAGAAAGTATTTTAATACTGAACTGATCTGATAATAGGTTATCAAAAGTAGAACCATGCATTATTTTATTAGACCACATTTTCGTCCCAACCAAAGTCAAGTAGAGGTCAGATCAGTCTGGGGCCTCCTACTACTTTGACTTGGGTTCAAGGTTCCGCTGCTTCCAACAGTTACAACTGACTTAAGTTTTTTTTTTTTTGGTTTAATCTACAGCAAAGCAACTCTTGCATATAAAAAATAAATGTATTGCGGTTAATTGATTACTGCGCCCTTCATTAAATTTAATTTCTGCATATAGAAAATCGATCTGTCAACCCTATAAGCCGCACCCGTGACGTCATCGGTGCTCAAGTTTAATTTCACGACAAGGCCAGACGTTCAAGGGAGCAGGATGCGTTCCAGGATTCCCTAAAATGTTTTTGTATTTATAGACATCCAGAATGCATGCACATAACTGTTAGCAATTGCTCGAAACTATATACCTACTTATTGGATTTTTTATGGACATTTCGTATAAAACTGTGTGCTGTGTGATATGGTGTCTTTAACTAATCGAGTACAAGATTTGATTCAACTTAGGATACTTTTGAAGAACTTCCATGCGGAAAAAAGTCTGTTTGTTAATTTAAACAAATTTTAACCGGTAAACTTTCTCCGAAATTCAGGAACGCTCTCCTAAATATCCTAAGCAAACCCGGCTGGGCCACAGGATGACTGCTGCAAGCAAAGCAAAGCAGGGGACCAAAGCAGAACTCGACAAAGCCGCATAGCTCGAACCGCGTTTCTTTAAGCAGCTCCATGATTCATTCCTATTATTGTGACTCCCTGCAGTATGAATTCCGACAACTATTACGTTCTTTGCTGCATTATTTCATTATGGTACCACACAAACGTTCGGCATTGACGTTGCTTGGTGCTCGCAGCACATACGCGAAGGTGGTACCAATGTTATCGTGTCCTTGTGTCTTATCGCGGTGAATATAACAGATTACGATTTTCATTTTTAGTTTGAATATAGTTTTTGTGCGGGCGTAACTTTCTGCTTGATGACTATAATTTCAGTGCAGTTTAAACTTAAGCGGATCAAAAATATGAGCATTTTTTAACAATAATTGATTGGTGAACTTTGGTTTTGGTTCTCTGATGAGAAAGGACGATTACTTTGTTATTTTTGGTTACCTATTTTGTTCGGATGCAATTATATTCTTGCATGTTGTTTAAACAATATGTCTTTGCCCCATTCTAACTTGTTTCATTAGAAGTGCATTAATTGTTGATAAAAAAAATAAGGTCACCGATCACATGTATGTTTATTATAACCAAACCGTTTAAATAAACAGTAGATAATTGGGAAACCATCCTTGAATGAGTATATTACTGTTTTAAAAGGTTCAACAACAAAAACATTTTTAAAATTTTATTTTACAAAACCGAAATGTCAATAGTTCAAGGCTTTGCATGGATCAAAGGCAGATTTTTTCCAAGGTGAAACCAAAAATAAGTTCGAGTAGGTAAATTCCTTTTTGTTTGGTTTCATCTGCAAATTAGAATCCAAGGTCTTCAATTTTCAGTACCTACAACCGCCGTAACGACCATGAACTATGTACTATAAAAATGCACCTGGGCTATAATGAAAAAATACCTTCGATATATTTTGTTGCAAGGTTTTCTTGATAATTAAAACAATAAAGTTCTCCTACTAAAAAGTGCACCCAGTTAGATATCTTTTTTTAGATTTTTTTTAACATTTGACACAAATTTCATAAAATGCTCATATTTGAATAAATTACTAGATAGGAACCTAGTGATTATTAGCACTCAAATGTAATGCCTCAGTGCGCTGTAGTGGGTTGCAACAACACTCACAGAAGAACCAGAGGAAAGTCCATCAAGTACCACCGATTTCCTGGTGATAATATCACTAGACATCAGTGGCTAAAGGCTTGTAGAAAAACATTAAACAATTGGGCCACTGCTAGGATTTGTTCCAGACACTTTAGTGCGGCTAGTTACGAAAGAGACGTCCAGCATGAACTTCTGGGACTACCGACAAGATGTCGTTTAAAAAGAGGTGCGATTCCAGATAAAAATTTACCAAGCGATTTTTTGAAAGAAGACGTACAAGCTAAAAGTGCCATAGCCGTTTTGTTGGCGGTTGGATTAGTGCCTAGGAAGAAAATTGAAGGACTTTCAAAAGAGTAAGTAGAATTTCTTTCTGAAATGTTTGCGTGAAGTCTGGCAATGTCGCCGGAGTTTTCCGTGATGGAAAATAGGTCGAGGGGACCCGGGGTCAGGGACCTGAAAGTCCCCCGGCCCCAACTATTAAAAGAGAGGAAAAACGGGGAGGGGAGACCCATCACATGGCCAGTTATGAAAGAAAGATGTACTAAAATCTTTGGTTGGTTTTTGAAAAACATACTACTACACTTTGTTTATACCAGGGTGGTCAATTATTAACTTGAGGCGCGTTTTTGAAAAAAAGTCCAAATGAAAGTTATAGGTATGATGTCATTGGGAAAATAAAATGATAGCACTGATTTTTGACTTTTATTTTCAAAAACGCTCCGTTTTCGAGATATTAGACTGTCTCAAGGCGAATGAACCACCCTGTATAATTGGAAATTATGGTGAAAAACTAATTGGTGACAATTTTTCTGGGCACTTGAAGAAAGTATCCATTTTTTAGATTACTTTGTAAATGTCATGAGATAACTTTGGCTAAGCCAAATCGCCTCATTCAATTTGACCATGACCTCCTTTATGGTTTCATTTATTTCATATAGCAAGTAAAAGTTCTTTCCATAAAAGTCGACTCTATCGGCAACATTGTAGAAAGTCCATAGCGATGCACATTGTTTGTGCACGGGCAAAAAGCGACGTCGCTCGTCGCTGACTCTGACTGTGGCTTCCCTTCCACATCGACGTCGCGTAGTTGTATTTTAGAGTGTAAAAGCAAAGTTTTATGGGAAGTTTGTATTTGAGACTGAAAATGTTACTCCCAAACTTTTTAACATAGAGAGGTAAATATTCATTGATATTAAGGATTAAAAATTCCCATGCCCCCATTGATAGAAGTTTTCGTAGAAGTGTTTATTTGCGTTTCTACTACTATTCCTACTACTAACCAATATTCGCATGCGTCAAATTTGAAAAGTGCGCATACCTACAAGGCCTCATTTCCTTTTCCCAAATTTATAGTAATTATAGTACAAAATATTTTGTTTCTTTTCCTCCTTATAATATTCTTCTGAAGTTACATAAAAATGAGAAGAGTCGCTCATAGGATTGATTCTCGGATTGATTTATATAAGTACCTACTCTCAAATTAACAGAACAGAACAGAAATTCTTTGATGTTTTGAAAGGTAAACGCAAAATGGAAAAATCCAAACCCCTCCTATTTAATCTCAATCTCAATCCCTGACTTTGCTTGCCTTTCCTGCCTAAAGTCCGCAATAACATTCGATTTTGGAAATGGCTATAATCTGTTTGGTATTTGGAGGGAGTAATAAATTACAGTAGGACTAATCATTCCATGGGTGTACCTTATACAGGGTGTTAATGAATAGTGGGATCAAACTCCTAGAATAAAATAATAGTACTCATTATAATAGGAAAAAAGTTTATAGAAACATGGGTCCGCGAATGCAAAAATCCCGTTTCCAAATTTTTTTTTCTTCAAATTTGGCAGGTTTGTTATAACAAAAGACTGACTTCAAGTTTAAAAAAAATTCGGGAAACGGATTTTAGAAACCCGATTTTTTCAAGCTTTGACACCCTGTATCTTGAAAAACTAAGCATTTGCGGACCTTGTTTTTATTAACTTTTTTCTTATGTCAATGAGTAGGTACTATCAATTCTAGAAGTTTGATCCCACTATTCATTAACACCCTGTATAAATAAGGAAAATTTAAAATATGCAACATTAAATCACAATTTTTTTCATAATTCATGACTCACTGGGTAGTGGGTATGATACCAAAGAGGAAGTTCAGACGAATCCGTGGAAGTTTGGGGAATAATCAGGGAAGTAGGTACAAGGCAGTCGCAGGGCTTCAACCCCAGGTGTTCCTCAACTTTTTTTAAGGGTAAAATTTATTCAAAAATAACTCTCAGGATGGGCCACATTTGATTTTACATGACTTTTGAAATAAACTATAGATCAACTTTGAATAAAATAATCTATCAAATATACGTGCTTTTTCATTCTTAAGGTTGTTTGAAAATTAAATTCAATTTACTTATTGGTGCCATTTAAACACTTTGCATATTTGAATGGTTAATGAATTGCCCAATTAATTAGGCAATTAAATATTTTTAAGGTAGTAGCCTCTATATCCATTAATTGCAAAGGTTGTCGACTTCTAAAAAAATTAAAGATAACATAAATCACTAAAAATTGACAAACTCGAAATCTGAGTTTCACAATTTGCCAATGACTGATAAGAACATTCATAAAACAAACTTTTCTGATGAAATGTGTAAGCAACTTCCAAACATCTTTTCACACTACATGCGATTTGTCTGTAAGTACCTATAATAATTGGACAGAGCATGCAATTTTTTTTTATTGCATGAAATTATACTCCAACTAGTCCCCATATAAGTGATAAAGAGACGTTCAGGTTTTATTTAAAAAAAAAAACCTTAAAAAAATCTACATCGTATACGTTTAATCGCTCCACATCTGACCTAATTATTGTTATAATACTTTATCAAAAGTACTCACACCACAGCAAAAGTCAAACATGCGCTAATGTAAATAAACTCGGAACAAGGAGAGTACCCGAAATACCATTGGCTTAGTTTTGAATTTCGTCATCTGAAATAATGGTGGCCCAGATTTTAGTTGCTTTTTTATGAGTTCAATGTACGGGGGAATTTGTACCAGTAGTTGTGTATTTTTCTTTTAAATATTCACAGATTCTCACTTTCCTTTTCTTTATAGTCTTGATAAAATGCAAATAATGGAGAACGTCGGGGAGGGATGTGACGTCAACCCTCCCTCTTCTCCAGGCCATGCTGACGAACATCAAAATAATGAGGGACCTCTTGAAGATGCACCAGTCAAATATGACGAACCTTCAGAAAACGATGATAGCTTTGAAATTAAAATTGAGAATAATGGATTGGAGAATCAGCCAGAGGATATTAAAGAGGAAAAGGATGATGCTAAGAAAAGTGATGACGAAGTAGAAGAGAAACATCAAGAGGAAAATAGGTAGGATTCTTTTACCCTTTTTAGTAGGTATAAGCTCATAGTTATTAGAGAATTGTGATCCACTTGATTATTGAATATTGATGATACAAATCGAAGTTCAAAATAGAAATAGGTATTACTTAACACTTTCAAACAAATTGGTAAAAGTTAAAATACGCAGTTCTCGAAAAAAAATTTAAATCCTAAGCCATTATTATAATAAATTCGATTACAAAGGAACCTTGTGGATTTAAATTAAAAGTATGCGCCATAAAACTTGAAAAAAACCTGAAGGCTATCTTCTCTAAGAAACCTTGGCACATATTTTTGATTTGTTTTTATATCTATGTTTTATATGGGTATCGTTCAACAAACTAGAGACAAGCTGAAATTTGGTAAGAGACTTTGATTTAGGGTACTAAATATCCTCTAAAACCCCAGCGCCGAAGCGTTGAGTCCGTCACTTCAAATCCACCCCTTGAGTGGGGTGAAATCTACCTTTTTTCAAATTTTTCTTGATAACTCCGAAACAAAGCATTTTAGGAAAAAATGTCAAGAAAGAAAAATTGTAAAGAAGAAAATTTCCTACCAAACAGATATACATCAGTTTTTTTCAGATGTTCAGTGGCGTAGATATCAGGTACTTGAATAAATGGATTTTCCTAAAAACCCCACTTATTTATTTTTAACCTTAAAATGGGCATGTATGTAGGTATCTATAAAGGCTGAATCATTCCGTTTAAGAAGTGTCATACCTTATTGGTCATACCATACATCTCAGAGGTGACTGCTGTAGCCGCTGTGGGTGACGCAGTGAAAAGTGACAGAGTAGACAGAGGATAAAAACTCGTGCAAAAGTTAAAAATAGTTTTGATGTAGGTTTCTTAATAGCGAATCACCTCCGGGTTGTAGTTACAATGCAGTTATCCTTAATCCGGGGGTGACTTGCTATTGAGAAACCGGCCCTAACTTTTTTGCAATATCGCAAAAAAATTGAAATTTCCGCCTCTAAAGACGGTTTTACACTGACAATTTATTGGTCAATTTATTGATCAAGTCGCTTGTCAAGAAATATTGATAATGTAAAACGCCAAATTGGCGGTAATTTAACTTGTCCAAGTTCTAGCTCAATTTATTGACGGATTAGTGCATGTTCTATTTTTCCGTCAATTTTTGCGTCAATTCAGGATTTCAACCTAGAAATGACTCTTTAAAAATATTAAAGCTAAGTCAGGATATTTATTTTTATTTATCATTTACTTGTTGATGTTCAGTTTATTCATCTACCTTCAGTTTCTTCTAGTTTTATTATTAAACATCTTCAAATATATTTCTGAGTGAGTCATAAATAAAAATACATAACCTTGAAATTCTGGTTAAGTTGGTAGAATTGTTTATTGTCGTTTGTGTTGTCAACACAAGCTGATCCGGTGTAAAGCGAAGTTGAGCCATTGTTGAGCCAACATAAATTGGCAAATAAATTGACAAACAAATTGATCAATTTAAATTGCCAGTATAAAACTAGCATAACAGTTTTCGGAAAAAAAAATTATTTTGGTTTTGTCATAAGAAACAATGTGTTAGAAAGAGACCTTTCTCATTTTCCTTACAGATATAAAGTCCTTTTCGAACAGTCTAACACATTGTTTCTTATGAAAAAAACGAAATAATTTTTTCCTGCAATTGACAAGAAACACAATGTCAGCAGTTTTGACCGGTTGACAGGTCGCAACAAAACTCAATATTCTGGTATTTTAATAATGTTTCGATAGTTGCTAAAGAATCAATGAATAACAATACGGAAATCACTTTTCAGGCCTAGGCCAGGAAAGTGATTCTCGTACTGCTGAATAATTGGATCAAATAGATAAACATTTAACAGATATTCGAGCAGATATTTAACTGATCGCAGAAAAAATAGTATGTGGATTTCGGTGGAAAAGCACATTCTCGGCCTTCGGTGTCAACTTACATCGTCGGAAATGTCGGAATGTGTCACTTTTCCACCTAAATAAACAATATAGGTACTATTTCCTCGAAAACTGTTAGAGATAAACCTATCAAAATTTGTATCATTGAAAATTGAAATCAGTAAAAGCATAGCTTTCTAATAATAGGAGAGCCGGCAATATTAACGGGTATGTGATCGTTGTAATGGATAATTTTCACATAAAAAAATAGCTCAGAGTTACCTTTAAACTAAATGGATGGGTGACCTCAATTCACATGGCCGCAACCCTTTGATGGCTGGGCGTTAAACTACCCCTCTTTTTCCGAAGGAACAATGTTATCGTTGCAATAGCTGAAAATTGGTAGATATATTCTTTAATATGTCTCCTCAAATAATATATAGGGTGGCCCCGATTTTGATGGCCGGAAATGACGGCAACCCTCATTGAAAGTCGAGCGCGCACGTTATTTTGCTTGCTATCTACAAATTTTTGAAAGTGACAGCTTTCAAAGTCACTTTCAAAGTTAAAAGAGGATTCTATGAAGAGGATTTTTCATACGGCTATAGGTCTTTAGACAAAAAAAGAAACATGAGATTGTGTTAATAAAGTGTTTGCTGCATATCATGAGAACCCCCTACACCGCAAAGTACTTCTTATTTGTTGCGCTTATGGTTCTTGAAGTATCTTTTTATAAAACAACTTTACGGCCATGAGAATCGAGGCAACCCACCCATTTGGTTTAAATGTTACTATGAACTATTGTTTTATGTAGAAATTATCCATTGCAACGATCACATACCCGTTAGTATTGCCGGCTCTTGGACTATAATGAGCTATGAATATAAAGGGTGTATTTTAAAAACAAAAATTGAACTTTGATCAATATCTCGAAATCGAGGCCAAGTAGAAAAAAAATGAGAACGTCACTGAATTCTGTGTAAAAAAGTGCTTCCATAAAGTTTTTACGGAAATCAATTATTTTCATAAACAAAAAAGTTATACCTAAAGGTTTCACAGTATTGCTCAAAATCGAGAATCGTCCTCTAGCGACTAAACGGTTGAAGATATCAAAATATGGTTCGCACTAATCAAGATCTCATAAAATTTGAGCCTCAGAGTTAGAGGTTCATTTTTTTGTATCCCGCTCCGATATTGACGTTTCATATTAAAACTGTCCAAATTCGGACACCCTGTTCATGCAAGCGAATGGGTCTTAGCCTTAGCGCCTCTATGGCATGTGGCCAATGCAATGGTATTTCTTGTATGACCCCAGAAAAAGTGGATGTAGAAGAAGACTCTCTTCAAGATACATTTCCTTTTTTTTTCCTATTTCCATAATAAACGTTGTGGATTAGTTTGTGTTATAATTATGTCTATAACCCAACAGTTTACCCCCAAAACTACAATAACACTTTTTTATGGTATTCCTATACATTATAATAAAAAGTGTCTTTTTTATAAAAAATTCTATGTAAATTTTTGCGTGACGGCATTTACCCTAAAATGTTTGGTTTTAAAGTGTTATAAATGAATAAGTGGTGTTTTTAGAAAAACCCATTTGATTAAATATCTAATATCTACGCCACTGAACATCTGAAAAGAACTAATGTATCTAAACTTTGTTTCACGAGGGGCCTTCCTCTTTTAACAAAAAGAAATTGACTGCAACAAATCAATGACGTCAAAAACGTTTGTCGGTTCTTAAATCAGATGCCATTCATTTTAGTTTATCAAAAAAATTTAATATGTCATATGAATTAAGTATATGTTCCGTATATATAATATTTTCACCAACCTCTTGGTTTGGTGTCCCAAATATCAGTTCCAGAAAAAGTGTCAACTTACGGGACATGGTTTTCCTGAAAGCTGATAATATCTCTGCTGATAATTTATCTGTCACCATAATAACCAACGTCGCAACCGCTTGTTACCGACTGGTGATTGAAAGTCTATATCGCTGTTCCAGAAGAAAACCGACGTACCTATATGCGAAAACAATTTTTTCTACTACCGTCCGTAAAGTACTCACTTTACACACTATTCAGAAGACATAAAAGTCCACTTCACGCACTAGTGCGTAAATTAATTCACTTCACACACTAGTGCGTGAAATAATGTCAATGACAGATGTTGACACTGTCAATTCAGTATTTTTCTGGTAAATTACTTCACGCACTAGTGCGTAACGTGAAAATACTTCACGCACTAGTTCGTAAAATATTTGTCTAAATCTATTTTTTTACAGATATTTGATTGGTAGTAGAAAAAATTTTGTATGCAATACGTGTGTAAAGCACCTTTTTTCACTCATGTAATTGTCGCACTCGCCTTCGGCTCGTGCGTCAAAACTCACATTCGTGAAAAAAGGTTCACTTTACACACTTGTTGCATAAATAACTATTACAGGAGAGGCAAAAAACAAATTGCAATTAATTAATCTTATAATTTTCAAGAGGATAAATGTTCATTCTGTCTAAAAATAAAAACCTGAACAGTATTTTTTGGACCACTTTAAGTACGCACTAATTGAATAAAGATAGTTTTTGAAATTGATGGTAAATTTTGAATTTTGTAGTTACGTCGTTATATTTCTGAAATGAAACACATAGAATCTCAGTTGGGTCAACCTTTTTATTTCATAACACACAAATTCCGTTTAGAAATTAATGCTAAGCAAACAAAAAAGAAGAAAATGAACAAAAAACGTGGAAAATAATACCTATAGACAGTGGCGGATTTACCCATACGCTAACTACGCTGCAGCGTAGGGCCCCGGGCAGCCTGGGGCCCCGCAGGGGCCCTCTTTACATTTCAGGAATATAGGTACTCCAAATTCCAGATTTATAAAAAAATATGTAAAAATAATTAAAACCTTTAAGAAAAAATGAAAAAATAGAAATTAGAACTGAATAACGATGATGCGATAAAGGAATTTGCCGATATTAAAATTAGAAAAAAAAATGCTTTTGTGATTTTTAGATGTTTCCTATATGTTCATATTTTATACTTATTTATTTATCTCAAGCAGAATATTATATTTTGAATGGTAGTTCCTCAAATTAATCAAAA